TTTCACAGATTTGTGCCTTATGGGGCTCAGTAGATGATTCCTCTGGGACACAAAACCCTGTTGATGCTTTGGAGCTTGAGTTCCAGTCAGTTCTCACCCAACTGATGTGGATCATTCCCTTTAGAGTTGGACCCTTCTGATGCTTTAAATTTTAGCTTTCATATTTCCCACATTCTGAACTGCATTGGAATAGAGCTCTGAACTCCATATAAAGTGTCAGCAACTCTCCTCACAGTTCAGTCCCACAGAACAATCCTTGTCCAGCCCCAGAACCAAGGACACCGCTGCAGCTTCAGCCCAAAAAGTGCAAACAGAGAATTGAGCAACAAACAACAGAAAACTGAACAAGTGAGAGCAAACTGGGAGGCTGGGACTGCATCACCTGAGCTGGAATTGGACAATGAACCCAATATGGAAATGCACCAAAACTTATAAAAATGTGAAAATTCCTGACTCTGAGTCCATCTTGGGTGTAGCCTTGGCTGGGCTCTTGTACAGCCCAAGGTGTGTCCTTTAAAACCCTTTTAATAAATCCCTGTTTTATTCCTTTAACTCTGTTCCAGGTAGACTCTCAAGACATCACCTCCAGCTCAGAATATTCCATGATCCATGAGGAATAAAAGTGGCTCAATCCTGAAAGAAACATCTCAGGCATCTCCCCTGTGCTTTTCTGGTTTGTGCTTTTCTGGTTTGTGCTTTTCTCTCTGCACCTTTTCTGTGCTGGGAGAGGAGAAGGGAGGGTTGGGAAGGTGACACAGGGATGGTGCCAGCACAGGGTGATGATATTTTGGATTACAGCAAAAACAGCTTAGGAGGGACATCCAAAAAACAACGTGAGCAGAGCTGGATGCTGTCCTGGGTCAGGAATGAGGGAATTTAGGGATTCCCACCCTGCCCTTGTGATGGGAGCAGTGACACAGCCAGGATTGAAGGCATGGAAACCTTCTCTAAACCTCAAGGTGTTAACTTTGGCCAAAAGGCTGCAAAAATGAGCAACAAGCTCCTCACACACTGCATCCCCTTCCTCTGAGAGCCTGCAGCCTAAAATTCACAATAAAGCCACATTTCAAGTCAGGACACCAGAGGGAAAAAAACAAAAGGAGAAGCAGGAAAACTGATCTGGGGGATCCATGTCTGTTCCTTAGGACAGCAACAAAAAGGAGCCAACCCACCACGGGGGGATTTCTTGATGCTGCAAAGAATTCTCCTGATTTGTGGCATCTGAGTAAAGGGGGCCAAAAAGAAAAAAAAAAAAAAAAACATTTGTGCTTTTAAAAAGGTTGTAAATCACACCCTGAATGTTCACCATTTACATTTTAAGTGAAATAGGATGTCAAACCATTTTGCTTTATGTTTATTTTCAAATACTGTACGCTTTACTGTCCACTTTCTGCAGTGCCTGTGCCATTTAAATCATATTGTATATAGCCCAGGATGCAGGGGGATATAAATCTCCCAGGGTGTGTGTATACACCAATTATTCTTGGGAAATGCAGCCAGCCAGAGTTCACAGCACCTGAGAGACATGAATACAGTGGCCATGATATTCCTGGGCATCATTCTGGGGGATTCTCACCCAGCAAATATTTAAGGGTAAATCCACCAGGTTTGGTGGTGTGACACAGGTTAAAAATGCGTGCAAAATGAGATTTTTTAATTTCAGGGAGCAAATTTCAGCTGTAGGCACATACAGATGCTGCGTGATAAATAAAGTCTCTCAACTGCATATTTAAACAAAGCATTAAAGCCTTCACACTTCCTGTTGGAGAAGTATTTTATTCCTTCCCCTTTATTTATACAGCGTGGCAGCGAGAGCAGGAATAAATTTCATCAGCTTCTCGCTGCCTCATCGCCAGCAGAGACACACAGGAACAAGATGAAACATTGTTCAAATAAAATGTAAATTTAACTCGCATGCCTTGTCCAGTAAAACACTCGGAGAGGGAGAGGGGCCAGGGCAGGGATGCTCTGGGTGTGGGCCAGCTCTGCAGGAAGAGTTTGAATATTTGGTGGGTGTAAATGCTGCTCTGCCTTTGGTGGGGGTGTCAGGATGCAGGATTTGGGCTGGGTCCATCCTGGGAGCAGGCACAGCCATTCCCTGGGTGCTG